ACACACGCGTTGAGACGCTCTTTCTCAGCTTGAGCACTGGCCGACCCCCGCTCTCTGCACTGGAGAAAGTCCGACTATGTTCTATTTGATCCCCAAACAGACCTCCAATATGACAATAGAGGGGGGTATTTCTCGCCTCAAATGTTATTAGAATTAACTTTTATGTCCTAATTAAAGCGTATTTTACACTTTTTACCTTAATCCTGGCTCCCGTGTCCTTCCCTCTCCGAGTTGTGTTGGCAACAGAGCAGGCCTGACCCAAAACGCTCTTCCTTGACGCGCCTCCAGAACGCTGCCCTCTTGTGTCCTGGACGCATGTGACGCGCCTCCAAGATGCTCTGTGACAGCGTCTGCCACAATTTGTCACAAGCGTCCCAAGACGCGCGTCAGACGCGATTTTGCCGCAGAAAACGCGTTTGGTCTGAACGTAGCTTTACTGAGTTTGGGAATGGCTGGGTTAGAGCATAGACAGCTTAAATTCATGAAAAACACGTTATTTTTATAAAATATAGGATTTGTTTTGCCGGAATCTCTTTCAGATTGACATTGTTTTTTAAAAACCCGGCATAAGGTCTTTAAAGCCTCCTATGGAGGAGGGGGGAGGGGACAACAAACTATCGTCAACAGCCGAATCCCAGAAGTTTCACAGTAATATACAGGGTCGAAAAGAGACGAAAATCACACTTTTCATGCAGTGTTTTTTCTTCTTCCTACTCCTTTTCAGGCAGAATTAATTGGCCAAGTTTATACCGTGCATTTATTGTTTATAAAATGTTTGTGCATTATGTTTTTTGTTTATTGATTTTTTGTTTGTTTGTATTTTTGCATTATATGATTTATATTATTTAACTGCATTCAATTACCTTATTTACTCAACTGTGCCATTGCCTGAAATAAATGAATAAATGAAAAAAAAGAGAAAAAAAAATGAAATATAGCGCTTTTTTGGACACTCAAAGACACTTTACATGTCATTATTCATTCACTCCATACACAGTGGTGATAAACTACTATTGTAGCCACAGCTGCCCTGGGGCACACTGACAGAAGCGAGGCAAACAGTATGTACCATTGGCCTCTACGACCACCACCAACCATTCACACACACACACCAGACTCATTGCCATCTAGTGGCCATGCGTAGAACAGCACTGTTTCTAGTTTGTAGATGAAGATTTTTGTACTGCTGAGATCAGACACTTTATTTTTTTAATTATTCACATAGACTACTAAAGTTTTAGTTGTCAGGATCTTGATTTTAAAGTTTTTGGGAAGTGACTGCAGGATCAATATTCCTTCAGAGAATGGTAAACAATATAAGCAGCCAAAAGGGGCGGTTATCCACATGCCACTTATGTACCCACCATTTATATTCATTATATATTGTTTTGTAATGTTTCTGAAGCATATGGCGTCCAACACACTCATTTTCTCTCACGAGCTGGCTCTATTTGATAAGCTGAGGCCATTTTCTATTGACAGGATCAGGTTCGTCTGATTACCCGAGTTAAATTTAGGGTGGTTTGTGTGCATGTGATATGGTGCGTATGACGAGGGAGTGTGTGTGCGTGAGGTCAATTTAAATAAAGGGAGTGGCTGTATAATTTCCATGTACATAGCACTGTTAATAAAAACGTCTTAAACTCATAAGACATTTCTGTTTTCATTCACAAATGCACTGAACTTGTGCCGGCAGAGTTCAATTGAATGCATGGTTTATTAAATGTTGAAAAGTAGGAAGTATCGGCTGCCATTTATTGCGTAACCCTTTTGTAGTAAGTAAGTCATCTTTTTATTTATATACCACCTTTTCACTGCAGATCTGAGTCTCAAAGCGGTTTACAATTGTTAATTATGGGCATTTGTCTCTCACTCCACACAAAGATGGGAGCGGGGTCGCCAGTACAGGAGACGCATGCCAGACATATTTTTAGTGGTAGGGGAAACCGGGGTACCCGGAGGAAACCTACGCAGACACGGGGAGAACATGCAAAATCTACTCAGAAAGGCCCTGGTCCGACTGGGATTCGAACCCAAGACCTTCTTGCTGAGAATAGCAAATTTGTGCTTAAGAGTTCAGATCAATATAGTGTGTACAAACTTCCTTTTTTTGTGTTTTCACTTAAAGGTTTTGAAGAAGATGACAAAGTCTGGGATCACGTCTTTCATTCAGACAGAAGACATGTTTTATTGTTGATGGTAGAGACAGCACGAACAACACAAACACAGAATGCAAGTGTATTATACAGAGCGGAGGCATGGAGACCTCCAATCAGCAGCTGCCACAGTGTGCTTGTAGCTTGGCCTTCAGATAGACAAAACAAGGGAAAAGTACTGGCTTCTGCACATTGATAGAATGATGAGTTTAACTTTAACAAAAGTTGCTTAAAAGTGTTATGAAATCTCACATTCCCCCCTCTGGTCACACATTCACATGTGACCATCAGGATCGATAAACAGCAACATAACATCATAACTCAATACTTCAAAACTCATAAACTCTGTACTTCACTCGGTACTTCAAAAAACTCAGAACTCGGAATACTTCAAAAACTCATAAAACTCATAAAACATTTTCAGATCTTTCATAAAACTTGTCAACAATCTTCAGCAAAATACCAAACTTCATCAGTCGATGGTTCCAGATAGTGCTTTGAAAACAGTCTCTCCCACTTCTCCGTGTTGGTTTCTTCAGGCTGCATTTATCGTGTCGAGCCATGAAAACTTCTGTGACGTGTCTTTCAATCACAGGTTTTAGCTTTAGTGTCCAGATTCAGCAATTCAATTCAGTCCAAATGATGTCCAAATTCAGAATTCCAATGGTTCCGAATCATGTCCATGCAAAAGAGGACGCTGGTATTGTCCATGTCTCAGCAGCTCACAGCCTGACTGGAGTCAGGGGCTGTGCAGATTGTCCAAGTGTGCTGGTCCAGATGCATGGTTTCTCTGGAGGTTTTTCAGTTTTGGCTTTAAAAAAAAAACACTTTTTGTGTAAAAAAAAAAAGTAGTCCCCTGTTCTGTAGATGTTACAGACAAGGCCCGCATCCTTCCACCACCTGAAGAAGATGCCAAAGTCTGGGATCGCGTCTTTAATTCAGACAGAAGATATGTTTTATTGTCGATGGTAGAGACAGCACGAACAACAGATACAACAGAATGCAAGTGTATTATACAGAGCGGAGACATGGAGACCTCCAATCAGCAGCTGCCACAGTGCCAGCAGAGATAGTCAAAACATGAAGTGGAAAAGTACAGGCTTCTGCACATTGATAGAATGATGAGTTTAACTTTAACAAAAGTTGCTTAAAAGTGTTATGAAATCTCACAGTTTCAAATAACTTCCATGTGTTTATTATGAAATTAATAACTGGAGTGTCATGAGGAAGAGAACTTTGACCACTTCTTCATTTATTTTCTTTAATAATAATAATAATAACAATGCATCTGTTTTATACAGCGCTTTTTTGGACACTCAAAGACACTTTACATGTCATTATTCATTCACTCCATACACAGTGGTGATAAACTACTATTGTAGCCACAGCTGCCCTGGGGCACACTGACAGAAGCGAGGCAACCAGTATGTGCCATTGGCCTCTACAACCACCACCAACCATTCACACCAGACTCATTCTAGGCAATGGGGTGAAGTGTCTTGCCAAGAACACAACGACAGCAGACAGTGGGAGACGATGGTGAAAGTCTTGAGGTGGGCTCGAACCCATGACCTTCTGGCTCAAAGGCCAATGCTCTTCCAACTGAGCTACTGAACTGTATTTGAGCAAAGATGATTGCCACAAAATCCAAATATAAAGAGGATGAAAAGACACACCTGCTGAACCACACGTCACACATCACCCGCTGAACACACAAGGAACTGAAGTTTATAGCAGCCGAAAGAGGGACTGATTAGAATCACTAGGTAAACGGTCTGATAAAGGTGTGTGTGTGTGTGTGTGTGTGTGTGTGTGTGTGTGTGTGTGTGTGTGTGTGTGTGTGTGTGTGTGCGTGTGTGTGTGTGTGTGTGTGTGTGTGTGCGTGTGTATGCGTGCGTGTGTGTGTGCTGTTAAAATGTGACATGTGACCATGGCACACGGGACAAAGGTCATCTCTGTTGTGATTATTATATTTTCAGTTTAACAGACATAGAAACGAAGCAGTCTCACAACCTCTTTGCATTGGACCCTTTAAATGTATTTTTGGTATGATAATTCTATTTTCTATGATAATTGTATTCCAAGGATAATTGTATAAAAAGTAAGCATTTCAGTGACACACCTTATAACTATGTACTGTATCTTAGACAGACTGATGTCAGTGTTTGGCTTTGGTGGGAAACTCAGGTATTGCATACTTCAGCAGATATACTTAACACACCTTAAAAACTTTTCCGCTTAAGACACATGAGCACATAATCAACTCCATTATCTATGGAGTCTTACTGTAGAAAGATATGTCTTTTTCAGAGTGTAACAATGTAACAGACAAATGTGAAAGCAAAATTATACATGTTTTTGTTATTTTTTCCAAATAGGACTTTTGAACATATGGCCCAGACCCATAAGCTGCACCCCATTCTCTGCCTGGAAGCCTAGTCTTGGTTCTAAAGCCTCAGTCTTGGTCCTGTCAATCTATGGATTTCCCCCTGGGGTTTATACAAATGTTTTTGAATAATCCAGACGGTCATTTATGTACATTTATAAACATTTATCTTATTGCCTATATGGATCATGTATCTGCATGTGAGTCCTGTTTATGAGTCTAAATATGAATACATTTATGGACATTTGGTCGTGGATCCTATGGACCAATGGCCTCTGTATTTGTTCATATTGAAACTGTGGGGTTGCTAAAATATTTAAACTTAAAAACATCATGTATATTTTTGCCTTCACTTCACAAAATCAGAAGTAAATTCTTCATGTCCGTGCAAAGGTTCAAGTCTGAATTTCAAAATGGCAGTTTGCAAAGCTGAAAGGAAGTGCTATGGTTTTAGGTTTTTAGCACACAGACGATACAAGAGACTGAAGGAACGTTTGCTTTTTCTGTAGATTCTCCTCAAGGCACTGAATGATAACAAGGTCCACTGCAGGGTCAAACTTGTTCGCAAACCAGTGGCCGTAGTTGAGAAGCCAATGCAATTCCCCCACACCATAGATGCAAACACTGCGTCTGTGTTGACCAGTGCAGGGTGGGTACAGGCTCTCCTCCAGGTATGACCACTTGACCAGCCTCGTCTTACTCATCAGATCAGTGATATCTGGCTCTGACCTGGGAACCTCCCCTGGGACCCCGGGTATACGCACAAGAGTTGCCCAGAAGAATTCGTCTGGGGAGTAGGTGTCCTCGGACCACGCCAGGAAATCTTTGACCACATCAGAAGTTTGCATGTACTCCACAAATTCCCTTGACAAGACGAAGTAAGCACTGCCTGTAAACATTTCAATCCCATGAGGCGGTGGTTCTTTCATTGTGTCAGTTTTAACAGAGATCCTTTTGTATTCAAAGTTTGCGTCTTGCAATTCATGGTGATACTTGTATCTGTCACTCTTATAAGCAGTTGGCCTGCAGGTCTCTAACATGTTCCTACCCTTTAATTTAATTAGTTCAGACACTAATTCAATATTGGCTCTGAGGGGTAAATCCTGCCCGCATAGATTTATGATGTACTTCCACTTTACTTCTGATGTTAAAAGATCTGAAATACAGTTCAGATCTGCCTTCAACCTGCTGATGGTGGCATAGTAGACACTTTCTATTTTTGAAGCAATTATAACATTTGGCAAACATCTGGCCAAGCTTTCCAATGCTGCACGGAACTCAACTGGAGACTTTTGATCATAGTGAATACAAAAAATATTTTTGGGAGAATATAACATTTTGATAAGTCTCTCCACAGCCCATGCGTCTTTATGGACAGTTAAAGAATAAGCCAATGGGAAGTTGCTCTCCTCCTGTGATATGCATTTTCTGTTATAGCCCCTCGACTCAAGGAACGCGCTGCAGTCTGCGGTGAGATAATGCAGACTTTCGTCACTTTCCACCTCAACTTTCTTTCTCAGCACCAAAGCTCTCCCCACTTCCACAGGGTCCATGTCGTGTATTGCACCGCAGTCCACGTTGTAACGCTGAGCGGGCTGCTGAGGTGCGGGACCCGGCTCATGCCTGAAGCTCACCATAACCAAACAGATTACGGCCAAGAAGACGCACAACAGCCAGGACCGGACGTTCCGCCGAATGTGCAGACAATATGCCATTCTTAAAAAATAACATTCAAAGTCAGACCCAATGCGCAGATCAACTTTAAGTCATAAAATGTGAAATTGTAACTTACACAATATATACAGCAAACTTCCAATGACTTAGTCCAAGTTCTAGGAGGAGAGAGCCCAAAGGATCTCGGAGCCGCTTCTTTGCGGCGCATCTGAAAGAGCGTGAGGCGCGTCTCAGTCCCAGACCTGAAGTGACGCTACACGGAAGACTTATCAGAAAGAGCAGGTGAGTCACGCCTTAGATCAAATATGTGAAATGGCATTTACCTTGGAAGATTCGACAAATTGTATCTAAATAACAGGATATACTTATTGGTTCTATGGACGTTCAGCAAAGAGGCAGATGTCACTGATCTGATGAGTAAGAAGAGGTAAGAAGAAGTCAACACAGACGCAGTGTTTGCATCTATGGAATCACATTGGCATTTCAACTACGGCCACTGGTTTGTGAACAAGTTTGACCCTGCAGTGGACCCTGTTATCATTCAATGCCTTGAGGAGAATCTACAGAAAAAGCAAACGTTCCTTCAGTCTCTTGTATCATCTGTGTGCATAGACGTCGGAACTAGGGGTGCGGGGGGTGCGGCCGCACCCCCTCCGCGTGTGCCGGGAGCGAGAAGTTATCACTATCCTGCGTTCCTTGCAGCCCAAAACCCGCTCCATGCTGTCGGAGGTGCTTATGAAGCTCTGTCTGGCTAATATCTGTCGTAGCCTCTGAGCGCTCTTTCTCAGCCTTGCGCAGATTAAAGACCTGGCTACACCAGTGACGTGCGGTGGGGGATCAATCATTTGTTCATATGATTATACATCATATAAACCAACAGGACCTACAGGAACAGGAGCGGCGTATACACAATTTGTTTGGCTACAGCAGAATATGATTTAATGTCTGCATAGTTTTCTCATACAAAACGCAAACGTTTGTAAAAAGTACAAAGTGTGTTATGGGCCTTATACCTTAGGTGTTAATGAACAGCACAGACCACTTCAGTTAGGACCAGTTTCATGTTTAAGTCCAGATAATAGTTTGAGCACAGACATGTAATCCTCCATTTGGAAATAAGTTCAATGAGTTTTAAAAAGTAAAAAAAAACGGGTGTCTCCTCCGTAAACTGCGAGTTTTGCTGCAGCCGACTCCCGGGTAAATCCAATTTCTAAATTCAACCTTACCCTTCACCTCTTTTTCTTATGATTCATATCATCATTGGAAGCAAAACATTACTCTAAGTGCATTTTAAATTATCTTAAAATGTATTATAGGTATGTTAGCCAAACCTGTAGCTGCCCTTAGCAGAAGAAGAACAAGAAAGGAGCTTTCTGATGGAATTGGATGCAGCCAAAGTTTGGGCTCACAAGCGCCCCCTTGAGGCTTTCCTCACTTACAAGCTGTGGTTGAGCGCGATTAAGACCCATATTTGCTTCAAAAACACAATTTATGAGCCATCCTCTTAAATGTAAACATGTTGATTGTAAATTAAATATTTTTGAACTTTTTAAACTGTGATAAACAGAGAAAACAGTTTGATAGCACCTCACAGGACTCTCCCTGCACTCTAAAAAAAAATGCATTGGCAAAACTTAATAAAATTGAGGCAGCATTTTGCATGCATCTTTTTAAGTTTTGCGAACAAGACTGTGTTTTAAGTATTCTTTGTAAGTCTTTTATCATTGGTCCAGCACAATTTTTTCAATACCACCAACTTGGATAATTGAGTTATAAAGACACTTTGTTAAGTATATTCAGCAAGTGTTTTAGCATCAGTTCAACTTAATTTTAACAATACTACCAACTTAAATAATTACATTGAAAATAAATCTTTTTGAGTATATTCAACAAGTGATTTTCAGTCAGGAATATGTAATCTTTATTCAAATACCATCTTTCAAAGATTAGATTCACAAAACGGTTCACAATTGTTAATTTCAGGCAGTAGTCTCTCACTCCACATGTATATGAGAGTGGACCAACACAGTCACTGGTAAACATGTCCACCTTAAAGTATCTGTTCAATATTGAAGGGTGACACAGGGAGTATAGGACTGCTTTGGCATGGCCCTCTCGATCATGGTTGATAAAAATAAATACAATTACTTATTTGGTCAAATTAGTTTATTCAGAATGTTGCTCAAGTATTTTGCTTTAGGACTTGCTTCATATTCAGTTTTAAAATTAATGCTCAAATGTAGAATTTTTAAGAAGTTTATATTTTTCGCTGCAATGCATTCTGGGTAGCGTCACTGCTTCGCCACATTTTGTTTTCAATCAACACAATATATTTATTTTGAATCAACTCAATATATTTATTTTGAATCAACTCAATATATTTGTTTTTTCATTAATGGACCCCCAGGCTTACAAGAGGATTTTCATGTTGAGCAAACTCAATACTTCTCCGTTGTCCAGTTATGCCAGAATATCAAGTTCAAATTTGTTACAAAAATGAGTTAGGATTCTTGTATTAACTTTTAATTGAGACCGACATGTTTAAAATGAGTTGCGACCACACTAATTTAAGTAAAACTGGCAAAAATCAATTATTGAGTTTAGTTTAGTATGTATTTTGAGTTCAAAATACTAACCACCTGAATCATTTCTTTGAGTGTGTGAGCTGTTGCTTTTTACGTCTCCCAAGAGAGGCTTGCCTCACAGCGCCGCTCTGTCAAATCTGCGATTTCAAGGTATAAATAAATTAAATAAGGCACAGCACAAATCACTTGATAAAGTGACCAAACATTATTGTATCCATTATATTACTTTTCTTTCTATGATCTTAGGTGAAGGCCTTACCTGCCTCATCTGACCGCACGTCACTGGGCTACACAACACAATGAAGCCACCGGAGAGACTGACGCATGAATGCGTATTGAAAAAAAAAAAGTTCAGTTTGATAAGTGACTTGCTTGATATATATTGTTTATTTTTCTTAACAATTAAGATGGTATGTTATTATCCAGTGTAATCCAAGTATGAGTCTCTCCCTCGACTCTCCCAACAAAAACCCGCCCCCCCTCTCAGAAAATAGTTCCGACGTCCATGTCTGTGTGCTAAAAACCTAAAACCATAGCACTTCCTTTCAGCTTTGCAAACTGCCATTTTGAAATTCAGACTTCAACCTTTGTACGAACATGAAGAATTAATTTAGGATTTGTGAAGTGAAGGCAAAAATATACATGATGAAGAGCAAACCTGATGAGCAACAGCACATTTCAATATGAACAAACACAGAGGCCATTGGTCCATAGGATCTACGACCAAATGTCCATAAATGTATTCATATTTCGACTCATAAACAGGACTCACATGCAGATACATGATCCATATAGGCAATAAGATAAATGTTTATATATGTACATAAATGACCGTCTGGATGATTCAAACAATATTTTTATAAACCTCAGGGAGAAATCCATAGATGGACAGGACCAGGACTGAGGCTTTAGAACCAAGACTAGGCTTCCAGGCAGAGAATGGGGTGCAGCTTATGGGTCTGGGCCATATGTTCAAAAGTCCTATTTGGAAAAAATAACAAAAACATGTATAATTTTTTTTTTGTTTCACATTTGTCTGTTACATTGTTGTCCTCTGAAAAAGACATATTTCTCTACAGTAAGACTCCATAGATAATGGAGTTAATTATAAGGTCATGTGTCTTTAGCAGAAAAGTTTTTTTAAGGTGAGTTAATTAATATCTGGTGTAATGAGAGGAGTTTCCCACCAAAGCCAAACACTGACATCCTCTGAAGATCATCAGTCTGTCTAAGATACAGTTCGTATTTATTCATGAACAGTTCCCACAGTCGCACTCGCAAACTTACACAGACACAGGGAGAACATGCAAACTCCAGCTCTGTTCTGTTCTAATGAAATGTCTTTTGTCATGTTGTAATATTGAATAGCTACAGCAACTTAAATACAGTAAAGCACAACCCCACAAGATTTCAATTAGACGATAATGTTATTTAATGAAAACCTTGTGACCAAAGCCACATGAATCCACTTTGGATAGTTTTTGTTCGTAGTGGTCCAGCTAAACGCTATAGACAGCACACTGCAGTATTGGCTCTTTGTCACTATACATGCAGTACTGTACTATGAGTGTTGAGATGTGCTCTGAGACACACAAACACACACACAATCACACACACAGACATTGTCATTTTATTATGCTGCAACTGTTTCTGAGTTATATAAAAGCATGAGTAAAGAAAACTCTTTCTTTTGTATTTACTGAACTTAACCCTCTGGCTACTCCCGAAATATAATTAATTTCTGTTGAATGTTGACTTAAGTTTATGTGTCATTCAAATCAAGTTTCTTGGAACCTGTTTCCATAAAAAAGTTAAGTTAAATCAGTAAAGCTTCCTGCAATTGAAAAAAAAAACAAAAACTTTGAGGTCATCCATCCCGTTGTAGGGTTTATTTTCCGAAGCACAACAATATTGGATTTTTATTCAAAGTGAACATCAGTCACTGAGATCACATTTCCAGAGCAAGCATTTAGACAGCTTCAGACAGCGCGGTTCAAATTGGTCTTCTCCTCCAGCAAGAGGAGGAACTACATTGAATATATTGGTATAACATTATATTTTATATATTAGTATTATTCTATTATATGATACTACAGGGTCCAATGGACAAAAATAGACAATGACAACAACAAAAAAGTTAAACTGCAGGTCTGTAGGAGAGGCCTGAAATAATTACTCAAGTTACATTCACAGGGGCGACATTTCTAGAGCATTGGCCTTTGAGCCTGAAGGTCGTGGGTTCAAGACTTTCTACACCAATTCCCAATTAAGGTGTAGAAAATGGATGGATGGATACATTCATATTTAATTTATTTGCCCATTTACGTAGTTTTCTCAATGTTTATATATTTTGAGCAAAAATTTGATCTTCATCATTA